TGTTGTTGTTTTTGGTAAAAATGTTGAGGCAACATGTAAAGAATGCCCCCCCCCCCCAGAAAAAAATCATTGCATTGGTTTCAAAGTCGAGGGACCGCTGCATCAGTCAGATCGATTGGGAAGTATCAATTTGAATGAAAATCCTACTTACGGGTTCGCCGCTATTGTTCACGGACAGGCAAACTTTAAATTGAATTACTGAATTGAATTATTGAATTGAATTAATGTCATATTTTACGTGGCCAGACTCGGGCCATCTGGCCCGCTCTTCCGTCTGACCACTCAAATTTCGCTACGCTCCTTTCACCAACTAGCAGAGAAAGACGGTGTTTTCTTGAACGGGAAACAGGCGGTTTGAATTTAGCTCAGAGGCGTCGTTTAGGCTTGAAGATCTTTCACATATAAGTAAATCTACTAACATGGGACAGCCGGCTTTTCTTCCCCTCCGAAGAAAGGCGTACGAAGGATTTTTTCGCCCTTATGGCTTCGATCGGGTTTGAACCCGTCAACTTGGGTACAGCAGTCCTATAAGCTAACATCGCCGCCCGCAAATATTTTGCCGTCAATCGATTTTTCGGTATCAGGGACCCACAAAATACGGATTGTGACAACACAACGAGTTATTTTACAATGTATAGAGACTTGATTTATCCACATTTTCTTTACCAGGACCTGGGAATAAGAGTTGTTCTGTCGAAAATTCGCCGTTTTTTTCCGCCACATTATATTACATTACTCTATACTGCGTAAGCAATAGCAAGGAAGTAAAAATAATGTCTTTAAAAAATCTTGTGCGTTTTTTAAATGAGTTGAGCAATTTCGTATTTTTGAATTTCCCGCGCTCCATTGCCAGCCTTTCACAGATAGAATTCCGCGTCGGAGCCCACGTGACAATTGGATATCTGAGAATTCCTTGTCATAATTGAGAGAAGCCATGCTATAGCTATCTAAGTTACCCAATTATGTACGAATAAAACGCAGTTTTAATTGTCGAATGTGTGTTGATATACGAGCTTTAAAATAATTAGTTTTCGCATTTAATGTTCTCCGATTTGTAATGAGGTTAACAAGTGATGACAGAGATGTCATCATGAACAGAAATTGCGGTATAATAATATTACTCAACAGTTACTAAGAGCGAGAAAGTGCGTGCTGTTGTAGCACCACTAGGTATATCTAGAATTCTTGATGCAGCCTTCAAAAAGAAAAAAGAGTCGCGCAAGTGTTCTTGATACACGAGCCCCCTAACTCTTGCCCAGAAATGAATAGCCGTTGAAATTCTTAGGTCCCACTCGGGAAGGCACGTATCAATTTACAATGCTGCCATCTTTCACCTCGTACCTTGAAAACAATCGTATTTCTCTGCCAATATATGTTCCCATTCTTAACGACGTTTTTGGCTTGTTTTGGTTCAATGATTTCGGTTTACTGTTGATTTACTTATTTATTGTTTCTTCCTTTAATACGACTTTGACTTATTCATCTGGTAGAACTCTTTATTTGGACATTTGTATTAAGCACGGTTATCTTTACAACTTTACGTGAAGTTTATCTATGGCAGAGGCAGTCCCAGTGTCCCCTCGGGAAACTATGAGAACGCCACCATCTCGCCGTATCCCCACTCTTCAGAGTGCAGAGAGGAAAATTGCTTATGTGGTGGAATGATGTCAACGGGAGAAAGAATACAAGATGCTCCTTGACCCTCTTGGCAAAGCCTTAAAGAGGGCAAATATTTACACGGGTGCAACCATTGCATCCGTGAATATCATAAAAAAGGTTTCGCACCCAGACAATCACCTGAAACTCCACGCGAAAAAACGTACTATGTCGTTTTTATTCAATGAAATACATGACAAGTTTTTGTGGAATTTTTTTTTTATTTTTTCGCGAAGGGTAAGTGCATGAAACTTTTTTATTTGTTATCAGAGCAAGAGCACGCAGAAAAAATCTGTTGGACGATTTTGATGAAAAGAGCAATTAGGGGCACTATTCATGATTTTTACACTGTCCAAAAGGTTTTTCCTACAATAACGAAACTTCTACAAGTGATAAACAAAATATCAATTGGTATTGGGGTTCTACATCACTCCAAACCATTTTGAAATCTACTGGATTTGTTTGGAAAAAAGAGCAGAACAAACGCAAATTATTGTTAGAACGCGGTAATATTGTGGATTGTAGATCCATATACCAGGTAAGAGTAGAGGGAGGAAGGAAGATTTTTTATTTAGATGAATCGTGTATAGACAATATGACAACAGGAAAGTGCTTGCAAAAAAAACAAGAACTTTTAAGAGTGACTTCGTGGGGCAGTTCTGCAAAACGACTTGTTAGTGCAGGTTCTCGAAATGGTTTGTCGCAGATGCTAATATATAATAATGGAAGCAAACATATCACAAGGGGATTATCGTGGACAAATGAACTCCACCAATTTTAAAAAATTGTTTTAATACCCAATTACTTCCAAATATACCACCCGCATCGGTCATAGACGTGGATAATGCCCTTTACCACGCTAGGCATCCTGAAAGAGTCCCATCGAGATACGACACCTAACTGACAATGAGAGTGGTTTAAGAAGAGGGGAATTGAGTATGATCCCAATCAACATAAAAGTGATTTGTTCAACCTAAAAAACCTAGCTTAAACAGATTACGTAGACAAAATGGCTTCTGAAAGGGGGCCTTACTGTTATTCATTTTCCACCTTACAATTGTGACCTGAATCTCATAAGTTTTTGCATGGGCTAAAATGAAGAGTGTTTAGGGAACATGGCACGGGGGACTTGTCAGTCCAACATCTCCGTGAACTCAGAAACTATGCATTCTCCTCTGTCACACATCCACAAATATGAAGACGAATATTGGCAAAAAGATGGAATTTTGGAAATAGCTATCGACATGATAAAATTGCTTGGGTCATGGCCAGTAAAAGTGAACGTGACAGCTATTCCAAACGACTCGGGAGTAATTGCAGTCATTTACATACTATATGCGCAAATTTTCTTGATATTCCACAGCGGGAAGTGCGAGGAGAAGAGGGCTCTGGCTATAAAAGGGCGTACCAACTGCGGGCATAAACATAACTCACCTAAGAGTGCCATGAGAAATGCTGCGATTGTTTTGAAAGTACGATGAGGTTGTTGCCAGTATTGTAAATTGGAACACGCCGTTCCAAGTCGAACCTAAGTATCTCAACGTGCCGAGCTATTCAGCGCCGAGTGAGGAATAGGGAGCCCATGTATCAAGAAAACGTACGCGAGTACTATTCGCGCAAGATTTCTTGATACACGAGCTCCCTAGTCCTCATCCTGCGCTGAATAGCACGGCACGTTGAGATACTTAGGTTCGACTCGGAACGGCACGTACCAATTTACAATGCTACCAACAACCACCTCGTACTTTCAAATCAATCATAGCATTTCTCGTGACACGTTTTGGAGAGTTAAGTTCATGTCTACAATTGGTACGACCTTTTAAGCCGTGACGTAGCCAGAGCCCTCCTCTCCTCGCACCCCCCGCTGTGGAATATCAAGAAAACTTACGCGTATAGTAATAAGTTCATTCAACGCTTTGGCGGGGTATGATCATTTCAACAATTGGTACGTTCTTTTCAGCTGAGACGTAACCAGAGCCCTCCTCTTCCCGCTGTGGAATATCAGAAAACTTGCGCGATTGGTACGCGTTATCTATTATGAATACAGAGTAGCTACGATTTCTGGCATCTTTAATATTTTTCAAAAGCGGTTCGGTATCCATTTAACCGAAAAATAAAAAGGGGAAAGGAAACTGCTACTGAAAACTAAATGCGTTCAAATTTAATGAAAACCTTTATGCGTAAATATTATATAGTTGTAGAGTCCTAATACCAACCTCTAATTATAAAAATGTGCTTGTCTATACTCCCGCTACGTTAAGTTCCCACATATTTTAAAATGTGTGTTCAGATATTGAATCTTCCCGCCAATTTGAAGTTATGTTACATCATTATACTATCATTTTTTTCAATTCAATTTCTCTCCTTTATATCTAATGATAATCCTGACATCTTTTACTAAATCAACCCTCTGAGAAGCAGTAGTTTTGACACCGCTGTCAACAGGCAAACTTGTCAGAGGCCTCAAAATATTTTGTATAGAAAAAGAAAAAAACTGTAACAATACTGTAATTACTTATTCTATATATGTATTGTGGAAACTGAACAATCATAATAACATTTTTTAAGTACCTATAAAGGAAACAATTATGTATGTTTCTTTAATAACAAAATAATTCAGTACAGTATTAACTTACTATTAGAAGCAATTGTGTAAAATTTGAATATATTTAAAAATACTACCCTATCTTTACATAACTACTTTTCTGGTCCAGATTTATAAATAAGTCCAAAACTACAAATTTCAAATGTCAAACTCTGCATCATTAGATATTATAGATATTCCTTTTAAATACAGAAATATTTTAAATGTAACATAAGTTTCTTTGGTTTTAGTACTTCAATAATACAAAGAAAGAAAAGGTAGCAAGGTAATTACTAAGGCACGGAGCCTGTCTCTTAACACCACTTTCAAACAACATTATGGCTCCCATAAAATATTTAAAAAATATAATAATAATTTAAAACAATGAATTACCATGGAACAGTCTAATCCCAGCTTACCTAAATCTTATCAGCTTGTTTATGCATATTTGGTTCCTTCAATGCCTTTACCTTGCCGTGTGTCTTGACAAATTTTATGCAATCTGAACAGCAGATAATTGTAGGTTTTCAAGATTAGCAATATCAACATTTGCAACTTTTCAAATGAAGAAGGGTGATGCAGAAAACTTAAAGCTATTATATTACAGTAAACTAAAATAAAATAAACAAATCCTTTAGGCCTTTTAACATATGGGCATCTCAACTTTATAGTCTTATTACTACTGTACTGCACATGTCTAAAAGTGTGAGATCTTATTTAAAAAACGCCTTCAAAGGGCCACAGTTCCAACATCTTTCTTTCATTCCTCCCACAGGAACCTATAGCAATCTGACACAATTTTCATCTTGTCACCTTCAGTAGTAATTAACAAGTTCTGCTGAAAAGTCTTCGAAATGTCTGCAGATAATAGAACAGTCCCAGATACTTTTAATACGAATGTAAAGTCCTGTGTTAATCCAGCTCCTTGTGATAGCGGCTGGCAATCAACAGTGGATACGCCATGGTCTGTTCGAGGAAGTTTTTCGAAGAATTCTTGAATGTATTGGTTGCCCATCACGCCATTTCCATTCCATATTAATGTGGCTGAATCAAGGTAAAGTCTTGACATCCTGTGGCGCATTCTGTCTACGCTTTCGTAGTAGAATTTCACGAAGTTTTCTGCTAGTGTGCATGCTTCTTCCTCTCGTCTCAGAAATCCAGAATTCATTGTTCAAAATCACAAACACGTACTTCAACAAGTACACTATCACTATTTAGCTGACAAAACGTCGCCTCAGCAACTCCAACGACTCTTCCTAACTCTTTGAAAACGAAGTGAAGATATTCTTATCGGTTCTTATCCAGTATTGCCAATTTTTGAAAAACTCGATATCAAGCTATAAAAACCATATTGACAAATTATAAATTTATAAATTTCCTTTTCATATTATTATTGTCATTTCATCCTACATTGTGTTGCAATTATTTAAAATTTATTATGCAATCGCTTCTCCCTCCTGGAAATAAGAAAGAGTGAAAAGCATTTTTCATTAATTGAAAGGAATGAAAGTAATTAAAGAATTTTGAAAGTGTTGATGTGATTTCTAAATTACTTATATTACTCATGATTCAAATTTGCCCCAATAATGTTGTATTGGAAAGAATAATTACTACTGGTTATTGTTTTATTGAAAAATTTAGCTAAAAGTCAAAATTTTCTCTCAAATTTATATGGATATCTTAACTATCACAAGAGATGTATTTTGAATTATTTATTTTCTTTCTTATGCTCTGTATTCAACTTTTGACATTTACATTAGTTACACTTGACAGAATAATTAAAACTTTTGTCCTGAACCTGTCCCCTTCCTAATTTCAAATAATGAAATACACTTTTAAGTTAATGACAATAAAGGGAAGTTATTCACTATTATTTTGATGGTTTGAAAACGAATTTTCATGAACAAAAACTAAAAAATTCCATATTTACTGCATTTAGGATACATATTTTGTTTTTTTAAAAAAACTACGTAATGTAAAAAATAGTGTAAGAAAGAAAGAATAGGTATTAATAATGAGAATTGGGGCCTTTTCACCGGTACTTGATAAAGTTCCGAATACTAATCAGACATATATTTTATCCGTCAGATAAAAGTACCAGATATTTATTTTGCGTTTCACCAAGGTCTTTCTTGTTAAATTATCTGACAGATATCATTCTGATAAATAATCTTGCTGATTGCTCTTTTACCAGTGACAACGTCGCAATTTCGAGTCAAACGCGCTCTGTACGCGCGCAAATTCGAATGTGTTTTGGTAATGGTATCAGGTGTTTTTCGCTTCAGTCCTTATTTTGTGTTGCAGCGTGAGCTGTGTGCCAGTTCAGAATAAAAGTTTGTTTTATTGCGGCGTACTTTGTGTGTGTGGGAGTTTCAAAATGGAAACAGGACAGAAGCGTGAAAGAGTAGTTTATTTTACACGTGAGGAAACACTTGTATTCCTCATTGCGAAGAGGAAACGTATTATCAAATGTAAAGTAAATGCAGCTACCTTGTGGTAGGGATATGGATAACTATGGAAAATGTTTTCAGTAGCTCGGTGGGGGAAGAAGAGATTATAACTGTTATTTTGTTTCTTTTTTTCTTTGTTGAAAACAAAATTATAATGGAAATGATGCGTTCTAAAAATGATCAAATCTGAAATCATAACAGGAGTGAGGCAAGAAAATCCATTACAATGTTAATATGATTAAGGAGGATACCATTGAAAATGGATTAATTTCAATTGCTTATTTGTCATAAAATACTCAATATTAAGACCTTTCTCTGATGACCAGCTTATTATATATTATAAAAACAAATTTTTAAATACTATTCACTCTCTAAACAGAATTTTGAGGATATAATTTACAATTAAATGTCATGTTTAATTAATTTATAACTAATGCCATGTTAGAATCAAATCTTTTCACAAACATTTATTACAATGTTCTCTCTAAAATAAAAACTAATTTTGGATAATGGACCCAAAAAATATTCTAGAATAATCTCAAAAACACTACAGATGAAGACTATAAATTCCATGTTAGAATCAAATCATTTCACAAATCTTTATAACGATGTTCTTTCTAAAATAAAAATACCATAAAAATATATTTTTAAACATTGTGATAGCCAATTGCCTTTATAATTTTTTTCTCTTTATTTTTAGTTAGTCATATCAACAACTAAGATTATTTGCGACCAATGATTTATAGCAAATGATTAGACAATTATGTTAATGTAATGATGGATAAAATTATGTGTCCATGCTTGCCTCTCTCCTGAAAGTGAAGATGTATAAGTATGTTCTCATGATGAGAATTGTTTTCTTTTTGATAACATTTTTATATAGTTCTATATTTTTATAAAATTATCTACTTAATTTAACATGTTTTGGCAAGTTCTCTCCCATCTACTTTTATATTTTCTACTTACTACTTATATATTTTTTTCACTTATACATGATTTTGTAATGAATATTATTTCTATGTAACTTTTATTTTTTATTCTTTTATTTTATTAACTATCTTCAAAATTTGTTTGACTTTTCTTTTTTTTTTTTTTTTTTATCCCTCAATGGATCATGCCAATAGGCTTATCTAACATATGTTGATGAGTGTAATTGTCCTCACGAATTGGTGAAGAATAAAGTTTCACGAAAAAAAAATTCATTGATTGTTAAAAAAGAAAAGGATACTTGTGTTCAATTAATTTATTAGAAAACATTTCATAAAGATGGTTCACAAGACAGTCATATGTAGGGTATGTAGGGTAGAACACTATAAAATCAGCTCCACTCAACATAAAACCATTCTTCTGCAAATGATATTTTGAGATGTCATTTCTCTTACACATCGATGAAACGTATGTTACATATTACCAGGTGATTGTATGGGAATATACATGCAATCTATTGCTCAAGAACTCTTAGAAAATCTTGAAATTTCAAAAAAGTCTTCTTAGGTGATTTTCAATTCCTTTGAAACTTCACAAACTCACTACATTTGAAGCAGTACGTAGCTCACTACGTAAATTATCCCATTGCAAAATAACGCAGAGTAAGAAGAAGTCGGTTCATTGGTGATATCTCAGAATTTGCTAACAAAACACAAAGTGTACATTTTATTATTTTGACATAAAATTAATTTAACAGGACCATTACTTTACCAGGGCATTACAGAAATGTAAGTTGGTATTCATAAATCATTTGTTTTTTATTTTATTTTCTATCATAGACATAGCATTATTAACTGTAGGTATCCTAAACCTCAAACAGGATTTGCAAACCTGTTCATCAAGGATCTCAAAATATTCTGTCTGTCATGCTGTCTGGTCTGGTCAAGTCTAAACCATCAAAGAATTCGTTGATTATCATCTCTATTACGTTGTCCATCACAGACATACTGCAGATATTCCTTGAAAATCACAGCAAGTTCACACACAAATTCTGTTACTTTGGAGTTATCTACTAGATACAGCAGCCTCTTGAACCTCCAGATTATTTACCAGATACATTAACCACTGGATAGAGTTATCAAGCAGTCATAAAACTCAAATTTTCAACACATCAGTCATATACCTTCTGGATAATCTATCAAACACTTTATCAGGCACCGGTGATCTCACAAAACCCTGAACGGAAATCATCACGATAAAACTGAACGGTTGTTAGAAATCGATTTATTAGAATCAGAACAATAGAAGGACAGATCAGAGTACTTCATAAGTAATTGTAACCATGTTTCATTTTGCTACCAAAATGAGGGGGGGGGGGGAATTTAATTTAATTTACAAGTATGAGACTGGTTTATTTATTATTTTATATCTGAATGTAGAAACAATACATTTTCCTTACAAAAGTGAATGAAATGTTAATATTCTTCATTCTTTTATTAATGTATTATTGTGTATTGTGTCTGTAATGTATATAGTGTACATTCTGTTATTAATGTACATTATGGTAAAATAAAAGTTGGAAAAATGTTTTATTATTTTCTAAAGTGATTATAGGATTTTGTTTATTTTTGTTATTGTTTTAACAGAGTTAGTATTTTTGTCTCAAATTTCAAGACGTGTTTGTAAGACTTTAATACTGTTATATTTTAGTTAACCGTTATAATTAACCCACTGTATTTGCAAACGCATAATGTTCTCAAGTAACAAGCTTCTTCAAAGCATTTTATACAAAACAATATAGTTTTATATTTAATCTATACCTATCTCATTTTTAGATCTTTCATAAATAACTGAAATAAAATAGTAGTAATTAAAATGAAATGCATTCTTGCGAATATTATACCAAAAAAAATCTACGCTTAAAGATTAAAAGAGATAATGTAAACATGTTTTTCTTTATGAAACTTTATCCCTTCTCAGACTTTTGCAGTTACACAAATTCTCGGAAATGCCCTTGAAAAGTGATATTGAACAATAAAAAGAAAAGAAAATCTATGAGAAAGTATTTGGGATACAGTATTTTACTACGGTCGATCCCGTTTGCCAAGATTGCTAAGTCAGTAGTGATCTGGGATCAAAGGATTGTGGGTTTGAATCCCGTCTCAGGTATGAATGTATTAGTGATCGTCCCTTCACCGTTTATCATCGTCCTATCATTTCATTTTAAAAACCTAATAATTCCTTGCACAAGCCGGAAGCCCTTGCTCTTAATGGGATGTGCAGTCGGCTAATAAAAAATACTACACATTACAAATGATAAAGTCTTATGATCAGATGAAACCCATAAAGTAAATATTAAGAAGGAATTTAACAAGACTACTTAGCTACAAAATGTAGTGTTCTAAAGGTACATTTATATCCAGAACATTTCTGTCTAAATTCTTTTAACCAAACATGAACTTTAATTCAATGAAGACAAAATAATTGCATTTTTGCACATTACAGTTGCTAATGTAGTCACTGGACTTTTTAGCAGTAAAGATCAGAGAGTTTGCTGTGTAGCAAGGATACACATCTGATGGTTTGGAAGACAACTATCGCAACTCAAAAATATTTTTTTAAGAGTGTATAATATTTTCAAATATTCCATCTTAAATATTTGTGGGATCAGGTTTATTCAGAGAAGCGTATAATTTCGAACTGTTTGGTTTATTTACAACTTAACAATGTGCACCAAATAATAGACACATGTATGTACATCAACTCACAACATGCACCTCAAACACATGTCTGTCTAGGTCATGTTTCTTCTCCATATGCTCCCTCCCAGGTCTATCATGTCACTTGCTCTGTTCAGAGCGCATATAACTTGCATTGCTGAGTCAACTCATAAATCGCTCATCCCACATAAATGTGATAATGGGTGGAGGTGCTTTGAAATAGCTATTATTGCTCAAGACCTCAATTTCAAATTATGTTCTTGACTAAAAAGTAAAATTGCCTTTTGTTGTGTATAATAACTTGTTTTCTTTCAAACTGAAGATTTATTTCTGATTTAGTATCAAACATTATGTAATTAAGTTACATTAATCTAAAACATTCATTGTAAGCTCTATCCAAATAAGATTCCTTCCATTTCAGAGAACCCTTACAAGACATTCTACTATTTCATTAACTAATTCCTTGTCTAATTCCAGCTCTAACAATCCTGAATGATAATCCTTTCTGTGTAGCAATATAGCATTTCACTTTCATTGCCCTCTGTAGATGAAAATTGTCTAGCCTGATATAGTTTCTGACCTAGCTTCCACCTGTCTAATTTTGTAAATAAAAATGACAAATTAATATTTCACAATTAAAAGTTATAAATGTTATTTAAATTTAATTACAAATACATTACCTATATTTGTTCATGCTGAATTAATTTTAATATTTCCTGCTTAACCTATGGGTGCATCATTTGTATCAGACCACCATGCAATATTTCCATAGGAAACGTTTCAAGAAATTGAATACTATTTTGTGGTTCAGTTTATTGAAGTTTTGTATTTATCACAGCAGCATATGTTTACTTTTCTTTAAAGGTAATTTAAAAAAGTTAATTAAATATGTGAATATTTACACAACAACAAAGATACTCTTCCCACAGAAATTCTGTACTTTGTTACGATATTTTTTCTTGGAACTAAAATTATTACTCAAAAATGAATCGTTTCATTGTATTTCTTTAAATTCAACTCCTGTGAGTGAATTATCCTATGTGCAGATTTATTTTAAAGTCAATAAATTCTAGTTTCAAAAAAGGATTCATTTTAAATTATCATAATTTGATTATTCATTAAAAACCAAGTATACATCTAGAAATGTTGAAAGTTTGCTTAATGAATTAGCTCAAATTTGGTGAATTACAGGTGGTACTTCAGTTTAAGAAATACCACTTTAGGGTAGGAAAAGAATTTTCTTGCTTACACCTAACATTTTTTTTAAAATGTTTGTATCTTCCAGCAAAGGAAATGAAGGTACAAATGAGAATCTCCATAACTGACTTGTCCACATGCCCACATACAAATTATTTTGTTAACTTTGTTATTAAATCAATGCAAACAGAAGACATTAATTAATATATTAAGTTTTATTAAAACTAGAATGAAAAATATGAACAAAGTGACACAAACAAGGATTTAAATAAGATTAAAAATATAATCTCGCTATGATGGTTCTTCGAAACACTCCTAAGGAAATTCATGTTAAAGTTCATTCAAAAAAGTTCAGTCATTTTTTATTGAATAATATGCATGTGAATTGAACAAAAATTTAGAAGTCAATTTTTTTCAAAGTTTATTTGTATACTTTATGGTATTTCATGAAATATTTAACGCAAGGTAGCACAAACATATGCTTTTAATGATGACCAATTAAAATGCAAAGAAAAATGAAATAAAATTTACAAATGGTATCTTCCATATAGTATTATCACTTATAGTATACTTTTATGGCTAGTCTTCACTGGCTATTTGAAGAACTTGTATTACTGGATTTCAAAGTATTTTTTTATCATTTTTTTATTAATGACAGCCTACAAAACAGACTCATTTTCTCACGAAATTCTGTTTCATAATCAATTTTTCCCGAATATAGTTTTTTTTTATGTAGTAATTAATAACATGAAAAAAATTAACATTTTTACCCTCTTAACTTTGCGAAACTATTGCAATTTTTTAGTAAATATTGATTATTTCATGCAACGGCGAGTTTAACCAGGATGCTAGCGACATCGTGCGGAGTATCGTACACTTTCAGCTTCTTCGATTCTCCGCTACGCTGCGCGAGCGTGCTTAGACAACATTGAGTGCCGCCTCACTCGATGACGCGTCGTGTAATCACTGCTGTGGGCGGTGCGCGATGGCGGCCAGGGCTCAGCAGCTGGTGCGTCACCAGTGATCAGCGCCGCGAGGAAGTTTGCTTGCGGCGTTCGAGAACGTGCGTCAGTTTCCGAAATGAGCGGTTACATGCCGGATGAGATGAACAGTGCGGAAGGCGATGATAGCGATCACCCGAGAGGAATGTTTAGTGACGGCGTCATCACCGAGCGATGGGACAGTCGGTGCACCGTGCGATTTGTGAAGTTGTATGGAATGTATCCTTGCTTGTGGGACCAAAGGCAGCCCGAATACAAAAACAGACATGCGCGCGATCAAGCCGTCCAATCTATTGTTGACGCAATGGGTTTAGAGGGCTTCGATATCCAAGCGTGCCGAAGGAAGATCCGAATAATTCGAAGCACCTACTGGAACGAGTGCGCGAAAATTTCAAGAAGTGTTGCTCAAGGCACTCCTTACTCTCCGAAGTTGGTGTGGTTTCCTCTGGCTAATCGATTTCTTTCAAAAATCTCTGGTTTAGGAGATGTTCAGAACTGGAAAACGGTGAGTATTCCATTTACTTGACATTATAATTGGCGTTAAATTATGCTTGTAACTGTGGGATAGTTACAACGTGTACATGAACCATGTTATAGTAGATCGACTGATATGCCGCATGATATTCAACTCGATTTTCTGATTCATGTACAGGCCTAGAGCAGTTTTGACCTGGAAGTAGTCTGAAAATTCTAAAAGTATAGAACTCGTAAAAAAATTACCTAGGTGAATGAAGAGTTGAAAAGTTAAGATAGTTTGAAAATCAATTTCTGCTTATTTTCTGATCTCTGGCGGAATGTTGAAAGAGCATGAATGTAGTGTTAAAAGTTTTTGGCAGGACCTCGAGTTGTGAGGTACCAACCGGGCACGCTGTGGTCGGATTGAAATGTTCGCTCTTGGATGAAACTACCAGTCGCAGTGCTCAACGACAAAGTTCGACTAATTGACAAGGATGGCCTTCCGCCTTGGCGAACCAGACAGCTGCCAAGGGGGCCCAACGTTAGAGGGGGACCACGGATTATAGTAATAAACTACAATAGGAGCCCCTATTTAAAAACATATGTAGTTCGTAAATAAGGAAAAGCAATTTTTCAATTTCCATTTTACTAGTTGAACTGCTAATAAATAGGAATAGTGCTTAGGCCAGATGTTTCCAGACCTGACAGCGCGATGTACAGAGAGAATTTGTGTCCGCCAACAATCCCGCGTGTCAAGGAAAACCAATTCCCTCTCGGGTTGCGTGTTAGGGTCTGGGACGTGTGAATGCCTTTTCCCAAGTGTCATTGGAGCTGGATAGTCGCCGCCTAAGAGACAGTCAGCTGATCCCACGAAGTTTACTTATTTATTTAAGGTTAAAAACATTTAAAATGTGTGTGACAACATCCTTTGGGGACAAGTGTATTTTGTTCATGTTTTGTTAAATTCTAGGGTCTCTACGCTAACTCATTCAAGTTGACTTTTGAATACAAGTGGAAACGAGCGTTTTTGGTAAAAATTGATCAAAATTAAATTGCCTTTCGAAGGGCAATTCTTTGACCCTAGTGCTTCATAGGTCTCGAAAATTTGCGTATAAGAATTTTGAACAATGTGAAAAAACTGTGCGGATTGGTAAAATTCACGTCCGTTAATGTATCTATTACAGCGAGTATTGGGTGTCAACAGAGCTTTGTTGGAATAATAATGCCGGTTGAATGCGTATCTCGTTTAGGTTTAAAATCACAATTCACAGAATATTTGTAGATTTCGCTTTGCGCATTGCAGAAATACTAGCAGCTGCGCATTTACGTCGCGCAGTCAGCAATACGAGAGTTACCGTTTCCATTACATGCGTTTGTGTCTCGGATCTTCTGACATGAACATGAAATTCGGTGCCGCAGGAGAAATCTTCAGAGTTCCTCTGTCTCGACATTGTATTCTTTTTAATGCCCAAATAGTGACCGTCGAGGTTCCAAATTTAGGAGGAAGGGCACAAGGTTAGGATAGATTCACTGCTTCCTTGGAAGAGAGAAGGGCAACTCATCGGCTGGTTTGGTGCCTTACATTTCATATTCAGTTTCAGCTGCTCAGATAAATTCAATTTTGACACTGTGGATTCTGTTGTTGAAACTACTCCATGCGTGCAGCAGTCATTGTGGGCGTGTTTCAGATGTAATTGAATGTGAATTTCGGAAAATCAAAGTTTATGTAGTGTACGTCAGTTTCCCCGATAATAGGTAACGCATCTTATTGTTCTAATTGTCTGTCCATTACACTGACTCTAAATCGTTAACGAACGAGTGAATGATTGTTGGGTGTTTTTTTTTAATGGTAAGACTAATAAACCGTGTCCCTCACATCAGAATACGGCTGTTTGAACGTAATGCAAATGAAATCGTATTTTCCAACTTTTTGCTTTGTAAATCATATAAGTGACGCAACTCTTAAGAGTTTTCTGTGGGAATGCGTTCCTGCGGGAATTGCAGGAAGCCAGAATCAGGGTAATACGGGATAGGGGGGGGGGGCAACCCTCTTGATAACAACGAAACGGCCTTGGATTATTATTTCAATGCCTACTGCATCGCCTCATCGGCGTTGGTTTGTACATCCACAGAAACGGGTAAAATATTTCTGTCCTGAAATTGTACAAAAAGGGGGGGGGAGAGCGCATAAAAAGTGCAAGCACGAGAGAGTAAATGACAAAAATAAAAATATTGTATTAATATTCCTTTTACTGTGCGTATGACACAGACAGCTTTATAATTGCGAGTGACAGTATGAGACAGAAATACATACGTATGTTCTTGAGAGAAATATATCAAATTTAAATTTAAAAAATCTATTTATGTATAGTGCATAGTTATTTCACATTATGTCAATATTAAATATTTTATAATTTTTTGTTGCATTACTAAAAAGGTGGCCCAACCTACCGCTTGTTTAGGGGATCTTGGGTCTTGAAGTTCAGCCCTACTAATTAAGAAATGCAACTGGCTGTTACCACGGAAATGTTACGACAAGTGACAAACCTACACTTATTTTAATCAAAACATAGCTGTACAGTAGCTATGTCCTGATAGACAGTACGTAGTTGTACAGGAACAATGAATCATCAACCTCAGATTCTGAAGTCTTTCACGAACAATGTAAATTACTGACATTGAATCGTAATAGAATTGAATGACTTTGAGTGAGAAGTGTGGGATTAGCAAGTACAGTAGCTTGTTTCCGTGTGAGCCGAGTGCAAAAACATGTATAAAGCCTACAAACGATTGACAAAAGGTTCTTTTTGTGTTCCAGCTATAAAAGCAGTATTTTCCGATGAACAAAATAGTTTATAATGTGGCATATTATGGCACGAACCATTACGCCATCGCTATTTTTGCGCGAAATATAAATCATCGCTGACGTATTCACAGCCCCCCATTACCTTCTAGCTTTGGAGCATAAATAAAGCTGTGGTATCAGTTTCTAATGCTGGCCGCAAAACCAACAATATTGGAAAAACACATTTAAAAAGTTGATTAATTTATTTACTCTTCTGAAAGTATATATTGTTTTTGTTTCGGAAAATAATAAAAAAGAGCACTTAATTAATTATTATGCACATGAATATTAATATTAAAATTATTTAAGTTTATGAAAGATACTCCAGAAGAAGAATTCAATTCTAATATGTCTGTTTTTTTAAAATTATTTTCTGCACTAAATATGAACTTACGTTATAAAAAGTTGTAATTCCAATATCTTAGATCTTGATCATTGTCATCATACGTGTACCATAACGTAGATGATTTACATGCCGTGGTCTTAAAATTTAAATAAGCGTATATTTTAGTTACCACAGTCTTTATTTTAACATGTACATTGTATCGTATTATTCAACCTTCTCCGACATATAAGCAAGAACACAGCCTGTAAGTCTCGCGTACAAAATTCGCTTCTTTTTCATCCATTCATTTCTTTAACTTTGAACACTCCTTATCATAAAGTTTGCAAGACTTTTTTGGTATTAATGCATTTTCTGCTTGTAACAGCTAGTTCGAAAATCTCTCTTGACAAAGAATCCATAACTTGTGTAAAACATATAACGTTCAACTTAATTACCATTTGTAAACAAATTCGTTACTTAGTACGCATGACTTCAAAACATGGATCCGAGATTACAACTTTACATCCAAATCAACTTCGCTTCCTTAAATCAGTATAATACTGTTATATAAAAAAAGAGCATATGCAACTAGTTTGTAATGTTACTTTTTTTGCACTCATAAGAAAATATTACTGATCTCACTCCTATTGTCGTTCATGCGATAATATTTTTTATTCGTGCACGAAAGGACAACATAATAAACTAGTTGCATAATCTACTATTTCTAAACCTTTAACCACGACGCATATTTTCTCCTCACGAAAGTCAAGCAATGGCTGAGTGTTTGGAATTGCATTGGATCTAAAAATAATAGTGACGATTCAAGTCTTTCTGAACGTTCTTCCCTCAAGGTTTTTAATGTCTGCTTTCTCCATTCTGCCAGGGGTTTTCTCAACTTCGTGTTTCATTCTTTATAGTTTAAAATTTTTAATTGTTACTATATGAAACCAAGGCCGCACTCAGAACGTTTTCTGGGAGGCTGTTTAATCCATTTTCTATACCCATCTTTTTTCCCCTCCAAAAATACCCTCCCTTTATTACTGTCATTTCCTTATAGCGAACAGAGGAAGATGAGACCCCTTCAGATGACACTGGGCGCTCAGACTTTCAGAATCAGTTTTTTTAATTGTTCTCATTATTTTTGTGTTACTTTGTGTTGTCAGTTAAATCTTAATTATAAATGAATAAACACGGTCACTCTCCAATTCAATGTTTTCAAACTTCGATGTGTTGACGATATCGCATCCCTGCTTGGAGAACGAACATTAAGGAAACAATGAAATGGAATTGAGCCAATATATTGCGAATTCACGACCATTTCACATTTTGCGATCACTTTCACTTTTTATCGCAGATTGAAAACTTTGAGAAATGTACCGTATCGACCGCCAAACATACAATTACTATTTTTTTTTTTTTTTTTGCGTTTCTTAACATTTCACATTTTTAGCAATTGCTAAAATCTACCACCTCTCTTGATGATACACAAGCATGATTGATGGGTTCATTCAATTAAAGGAAACGTTAAAATAATACCAATGAATTATTGTAAAGTGTTACTGATGAAGTAATTAGTTTATTAGGTATTAAGTTTGTTTGAAAACATGTTTTACGAATTTAAAAAACAATGTTTTCTAGAATTTCAGACAGGCGGTTATGCATTGTATTTTCATACGCTTAAATTATGCTTTGGTAATGAAAGTATATTGTTGCCGTTAAATAATATTAATAATTAAATGAAATCTTCCTTGGTTTTGCTTTATTGTTTGCGGCGAGTTTATCAAATAGTAAGGCATTGAATTGGTATCAAACATATTCATTAAAACGAATCACGGTCATGGAACTTCGTCATTGCATTTTAGTATCAGGAAGTAAGTTTCACTAGGACTGCGCAGGACCTTTGTTTTCAAAACATCCAGAGCTGACAAGGCTTATCTGTTTACTTTAAAATTTGATGAGTCATTGGATGAGGCAGAGTTGTCTGTGCCATAGTGAAATGCACTTACACCTTGAGCAATACAAGCCACGCAATTTTAGGCTTTCCACTCGTGAAAATGTGAGGAAAATGATCTGTAAATTACGAATGAGTCAGTCGTTGAAATTGATGCCATGTCGTATTTATGTTTGTAAATGTTCATATCTCTATCCAAATCCTTCTCACGAGTCCCAGATTGAAATTAATAGTCATTTTTTATAAATTTGTGTTTCCATTCGTTTTAAGCGCTTGTCATTATTTAACAAAAAATTTGTTTATACCTTTATACGTATTTTCAAATTTGAATTAATTTTGTAATAATTTGATAATGATATAGTATGATAAAGAAATGGTCATGTGAAAAAGCATTTGTTTACTAGTAGTGCTTAATTAAATTATTTATAATTCTTATGGAATGTACAAAAGTATTATAAATTTGCCTCATTGCTGAACAAGCCATGCAATCATAAAGCCGTCTTGCTGAGCAAAGTATACGTTTAAAAGGTTTCTTAACTTTTCAAGAAATGCAGATTCTTTGTCATCCTCTCTAAATTAGCGTTTATTTCTTCCCAATTTTTACAACATAAACGGTTTACTTTTTCCGTCTACAGTATTTGAGTACCTTCGAGAGTGCTGGAGTGCGTGTGTGCGATCCCGTCCCTCACGGGTAGACCACTTCCCCTTGCAGCAATCCAGACATGCGGTGTCATAAGATGCGTCTCGGCCTCCTGGTAGGGAACTGATCATTTGTTTTCGGATCCGGCCAGAAAAAACATAGAGGAGAGATACAATCTCTACTCTATGAGAAAAACGTTTTTTGCGTGTTTAGCGCGGCCATCTTAGTGAGCATATCGGAAATTAAACCAACACCGCCTAAATAGATCTCTGTAGGTGGCGTTGAATGCGACAAGTGAATCGCCGCACGGCAGATTTCATTTAATTTGCCACCTTTTAAATAAATTTTGCAAAAACCTACGAACAGTATTGCCTTGGAACTTATTCAACTTGAACTTCAAGTAAATACGGATAAAACCAAACCAAACCATACTACAGAAGCCCATACGTTATTACGTTCGACTTCTCACATTTACATATACCGATTGTGCATATACCGATTTTCAAATGAATGTGACTAACAACTTATTATTCATATAAATATGCAAAACAGTGTTTTAATGTTTATATAGATTCCCAAACAAAACGTTTGAAGTATGAAGAAGAAGTGAACACAATTTGACTGACTTTGTGGAGCTTCAATTTCTTCAAAAATGGGAGACGAAAATATGGAAGTATTAGCCAATCCGGGGAAGAATGAAATTTAATTACGTAAGATTTTGTGACGGAAATTTCGGAACTAATTGAGAATGATTTTATTAGAGAATAACGCTGAAGACGTTCTTCCAAACGATTTTTTGTTCATTTTTGTGCATAATATTAGCAATAACCTAATTATTTAGTGTCATTCATACCTGTAAACAATTTTAAGGCGTTTATAATTTTGAAATTTCACTATTACCAGTTCATATCCCCTATGGAGGTAAATAAAAGGCCGTTGGGTGTTGGGAATTTTTGAACAGGAATGAAACAGTATTAGCTACTACGTATCATTGTTATGTCCAATGATAGAGACTGTAAGAACTTGTTGGAACAAAGCTATGGATGACATAAAGTTTCAACGCATGAAAATACTTTTAAAACCGAATTCAACTAGTAACACTGAGTGGTAGAAGACGGCGATTAAGGACCTCATTACTGTAACAACTCTGCTAGTTAACAACTGCTTATTCTTTCGTTTCTATTCGCAAAATTTTAACATTTTCTTCTGTTCTTCTGAAATTGTCAAAATTTCAACATACAATGTAGTTAAATTGTTCGTTTAGAAGGTGAACATGCACGTTCTGATGTAACCGGCCATTGATGCACGGCCACCACGTATTCAAGATACCGTCTCCATTTTATTGAATGTTTTTGCTTTTTGTTGAACTTTTTTGATGACGAATTCGCATGTTTCACTTAGATTCCATGAAAGGTTAATGACTATATTACGAATAAAGTTAGAATGATGTTGACATTTGGATGTGAAGAGGGGCGGTGTTGCCACATACTGCGCGCACTACAACGCACTCTCAACACTAACTAAGCAAAGAGAAGAAAGGAATTTTGAGGAAATCGTGAGAAGTTTGTTCGAAGTTGGTAACATGAGTATGCTCGTAAAATTTGTTCCCTAATTTTAGGCGACGACGATGTGCAAATGCCAATGCTTCTGATTCGCTGTTTCCTTGGTTACATCACGTGACCACAAAATGTCAACTACATTCTGATTATATTCGGACCTTAAGTATGAGGACTATATTAAATATTTATTGTCGTGATTGGGGGATGTTTGCATTTCCGCTGATAATCTTCTGTAAGATGCGCGTACGTTTAAAAATATAACTATTAGCTATTAAATAAAATTTTCGGTTGCTGTAGGAACATGAGCATCAAGCGCAACAACAATCTCAACAACAGCATCAACAGCAGCAGCAGCAACAGCAGCAGCAACAACAACAACAACAACAACAACCCCAACATCATCAACAACAACATCAACAACAGCAGCAGCAGCATCAACGTCACCAACAACAGCACCACAACTTCCTCACTCCTGACGTGCCCAGGATTCGCGGGATGGTGAAGCTGGAGCCCGAGGAAGCGGACCCCATCGGGCTGGACGACGTGGACGACGTGGAGGGCGAGGACGGCGCGGACGGCGCGGACGGGGTGGACGGGGTGGACGAGGCGAGCTTCTGCTCGCCGGCCGGCGCCGAGGACGAGTTCGACGTGTTCGGGCGGAGCGTGGCGTGCCAGCTGAAGCAACTGCCGCTGCGGGAGGCCCTGCAGCTGCAGATGCTGATCCAGGCACTCATCTCGAAGCACCGCCTGCGCTGGCTGCAGGAGCAGCAGCAGCAGCAGCAGAGGCCCGCGCAGGCCGGCCCGGCCTCCGCGGGGGCGGGCCCGGGCGCGGGCGCGGGGCCGCGCGGCGGCGCCACGGCCCAGCGGGCGGACTGCTGGTACCAGACGCAGCGCGGCATGGACCGCCTGCCCTGAAAAGGTATGTACTGTACGCGCCAGTTTTCTTGATATTCCACAGCGGGGGGTGCGGGGAGAGGAGGGCTCTAGCTAAGTCACGGCTTAATAGGGCGTACCAACTGTGAGGTTGAACTTCACTCGCCAAAGAGTGCCACGAGATATGCTACGTTGTTTGGAAAGTACGATGTGGTTGTTGCCAGCATTGTAATTTGGTACGTGCATTTACCTAAGCATCTCAACTTTCCGTGCTATTCAGCGCTGGGTGATGACTAGGGAGCTCGTGTATCAAGATAACTAGCGCGAGTAATAGAAGGCCCTTCTTTTTTGCTTTTTCGCCGCCGCTTCCGCAGTAACCACTTCAAAGGAGCCCTAACTTCTGGACGTGGTCTATAGGCTTCATAATCTTTACGACATGTTATGCGCTTGCTTCTTTGCATATAACAAGGCAAAAAGATCCTCGCTCGGTCATTCTGCAGAAAAAATATATGAAAAACAACAACAACAACAACAATTTAAACATATTTTTATTGAATGTAATTCATTAAATCGAATAGGAAATTGAAATAAACATATAGTAAACGCATATTTTAAACGGATAAAAATCTTTGTCTATAAATGAAAATTACATATAGTAAATATTCTTAATCAGGAACACCTTAAGATTTATTTGATTTATTGTCCTCTTTGCTTTGTAAAGCGCTTTTCTGTATAGTAGTTTCGTTCATAAAACTTTCAAGGAGACCGCACGAAGAACTGACCTGAATGCGCATAGCTTCCAAAATTAGTGTCATTGGCTCAAATAGTAACTTTACTTCAAATTCTATAAAGGAAGGTTGATTTGATTCTCATCTCTAGATAGTAAAGACATGATAAGAGGATGGTTAAAGTAATTTAATTATAAATTCTGTAGAAGATGTTTTTTCCGCAGGGAATGTAGCCATGAGATGATAGAATTAGAGACAAAAACTGCTTTTCAAAAGTGTTGGGTATGGTTCTCTGCCCATATTTCGATTCACTCTTACTTGACAGTTTCTTTTGGAAAATTATTTCTACTCCAATTGCAATTTTCATTCTGCTTACGTATTTGCCGCACACATTCTCAAATAGAAAAGAATAAAATTTGCTATATTATTTTGCTGCATAAAGAAATGTATATGTTTTTAAAATTTGCCATGGTCGTTGTCAAAATTACTTTCGCTTTAAGTTCCTCTGTGCCGCCAAAATCAAAATCTGACAGGGCATTTAATGTAGATGCGTGACGATAGTTTCCATATTGAACTTCCTGGTTTCGTTTACGTTTTTTCCCCTCAGAATGTCGGTTGTGGGGAAGAGAGGAATTTCATTGTCTTCAGTCCACTCTTTATATTTACAAAATATTATAGAAGTATTTTAAAATAAGTGTTTTATTACAGGAGTGAAAAAAAATCAGATAGCATTTAACACAATTCAGAGAATGTTTTCCCCATCTTCAGTGCTTACAGCCAATCCAAGCATAAATCATTTAAAATACGTTCAGTTAAATTTAAAATGAAGTAACTAAATGTTGAGCATTAAGTGTCAAGATAAAAGCCCTATGCGATTGATTTCCAAAAATTCTGTCAATTTATAGCAAATAGTACTTATTTTAGGTAAATATACGAGTACTTTGTTAAATACTCGAGTACTTGTATTTTTGACTGGAAATATATTTTTATGTTAACGAAGATGTCTGTCATCTGTTGCAGCGGAAATGAATCGCCATGTAAAAAGAACTTTAATTCGGAAGAACTTCAGTTCAGCTTTGAAGCTTTAACAATTTCGTTTTCTGCGACGAAAGCGACCCTTAGTTCCTGAGAAGAAGTGCAACTCTGGTTCAGTCTCTGGATCTCATCGATGTTATTAACGCAATAAAACTATAGAAGTACTTTAATTTTGTCGTAGACTATGAAGAGAAAGAGGAAGAATTTTGTATTGTTTTGTAGTTCTTAAACATACTAGTTATGTTGTACAGTGAAATAACAATTATAATAAACTAACCTTTTTATGCATATGAATTTTCAAACATACTCATATTACCCTTTTGGTCTTCTTCCTTCACCTCGTTTTTATCATTATAATTATCATAATCATCATCACCGTCATCTTTATTTAAAAGAATTGGACTAGTATTTAATTGGGTCCGGGGGACAAGGCGAGTGTTTATAGTAAAACAATAAATTTGATTGTGAAATAAATGGCTCTGCTCAGAATAAAAATCTTGCAATTTTTGCCATGCCACATTTTATGTACCGATGACAGGTATATCAGTGGACATCGAAAATCACCTGATAACAATTTTAAAATGCTCTGTCCTCAGGCCCCTAAAACTATATAGTTACCAATCCCCAATATTCGAAGTCGTAGGCTTCCGCATACCAGCCCTGAGGAAGACCACGACAGGATGGTCGAAACGTCGGCATCACGGCCTTCTACGAAGCGTCACCAGGGCAGCCCAGATCACCCACATTCGAAGTAGATGTGTGTCGTTTTTCTCAAATTTACGTACAAAGGGAATTAATGCTGATAACTTTCAGCGTCCACCTTATACCTCATGAGGCATTTAATCCATCTTCATTAACCAAGTAGTACTGACGGAACGTACATCAAAAATCGTGAATAGGAAGATCATATTCCGTCACCCTTAGAAGCAAATCATGCATGCCGTAGCACTGCGCACAGGGCAGGCTAGGGGAAGGACTGCTTTCCATGAAAAGGTTGAAAGATGCCCCTGGAATTTCATAATAAAACATTACATTTTGTAAATGTGTTAAATACCTGATTAAAGTTACGTTTAGAACATGTAGATACGTTTAAAAATTTACGATGATGACGAACGGATTACACGTTAGTCTATCCATATATTATTACAGAATATCTGTTAGAGTAAATCTTATTGTCTTATGTTGTTGGGATGTAAAATTTTAAAAAATTTATCGCTTTGATATTAACGTCAACACTTGTTTGTTGGGCTGTCATTAACTCATTGATTTGGTAATTTCGAATAATTATTTTTTTTGTTATTTATGTTTTATTTTTTACAATAAATAATATCTAACTGAAAACAAATCCCAAAATTATTGCATGTCTTGAATGTGTTTTACAATAATTATTATATAAAGTTTCTTTTGAAACGTTTACTTTAACTTTTATCTGGATATTTGCGTAGAGTCAATAAGTTAATTTAACTCCCCTTCCCGAAAACGCACTTATTACAATTAGCCGTGAGATCATGTATTTTATTAACATTATGAAGTTATAAAATATTCCTAAAACTATTAAAAAATGTAAATTGTAAATTGTCTATTTATAACATTTTGTAAAGGACGAATTCGGTCCAAAAACGGAAAGGACCTTTTTTAATCTGCCCTGAAAAATGACGAACAAAGAATCGAACCTCTCTAAAAAAAGCTAAAATTGTACCAAAAATCCAAAATGGGTCGAAAACACTTTAAAATATAGAAAAGTATTCGAAAACATCGGAAAAATGCAGGTAAGTCGGAGATGATGCTTCCTAGAAACGCCGCCCGCCAAAAAATTCAAAAATGGATAAAATTGTTGTGCATGTAAAACGTATGCAAGTAGAAAAGGTGAAATGGATATGGAGGTCTAGAAACGTAGTTTTACTTCCTCCGTTTTTAGTCTGAGCACGTCTGTAATTCTTAGGACTGTCACACGGGCGTTGCGTTGACGTGCGATAAGTAACGCGCGTCATAGATTAACATCGTAGCTTATGTGGAATGACCAAAGCGCTCGAGTGCCATTTTGCACAAAAAAGTGTTAACTACTACGCGCGTTACTTAACGTGCGTCAAAGCAACGCTCTTGTGAAGGGGTTCCAATACATTAAAAAATTGGTCCAATCATTTAGTAGTTCGATTGAAACAAATTCTCGTATGGTCTTAAAGGTAAGTATTGCTAACATTTCTGAAATTGCAACTACCATTTACGCCTAATCGCTGCGCAAGAAAAAAGTGATAAGTAACGAAGTCATAGGTAAGTTTTTTTTTATTTTAGGACTTAATAATGTTTTACAAAAAATGCTTTTAGGTATAGTGAAAAAGTTTAAGAAATGTGTCTTTTCTTTTTTACCCAAACCCAAACTTGATGACTGCAAAAGACAATTATGGTGTATATTACCTGTAGTAATTATTAACATCCATAATAACTAGTTGGCTTTTTTATTACTCCATAATTTAAGATAAAAGTTGAGAAGTAAATAATATTTAAAATGTCCATTCATTTGTTTTTTGAAACTTGCAGAATGGTATGTATTATTTGAATCAGACCAAAGAAACATTAATGAGAAAGGGAGTCCGATGTCTTCAGTATTTATAATCTGCCTTGTGCAGTGTCATTCAGAAAGTTGCTGCAACTTCTACTAAGCTACTACTGCTAGTAATAATAATTAATGAAAAAAGTAAACAATAGTTTATTGTAACTAGTAGGTACAAACATTGCATGCACCAAAATCTTTTAAAAATGTAGTAATTGCATAATTTGATAAACTGTTTCATTGATATGCACAACTAATCTTGATTGCGGTCATTGACATAATTATTTTCGAAACAAATACTTGATATAGGTTACTTTGAATTACCAATTCAGTGGTCTTAAACAGTGCTATTCTTTTGCACTAAAAATGGATGAATAGTTAGAAAATTTTCATTATAAATTAAAATTATCACTATTACTTCAATTAAAGAATTAAATTTTGTAATTGTTAGCAAACATCTTTGAACCATCAGAAAAAATGTACACAAATATCATTAATACCTTAAATATAATGAAATTCTTTATAAGCAAAAAAGAGTTCAATGTTTTTTCCTGGTTATAAGTTGGGTTTATACAGGAGGATTCGTATTTATCTAAAAATTTGTGATTACCATCCGTTACATGGTGTCTTTCGAAAATCATGATTCATCAAGTCACTGAACTATCAGAGGTTTGTGATATTTGTTTGCACCCTAATGCAATTAGGAGCAGATTTTCAGAAACTTTTATTGTAAATTTCAATCGCAATATACGCAAAAACTATTCGTTTTTTCATCCATTGGTACATGACCTTTTTGAAGAGCTAAGTTTGTACAACAAACTTTGAGTCAAAAATCTCTATCTTCAATTTTGAAAGTTTTTACAATTTTCGAAAAATTGGGGATGTCATCTAAAATGAGATCTCAACCATTCTTTAAAACTTTCTTTACACAATTCAACAATAAACTTTAATCAAAAAATTTGGAGCTTTTTCTTGAAAATTTTGAAAATGTACCAGGGGTTTCATGTAAAATACTTCCCAAAATAAAAATTTCATTTTAAAATTCTAGTGACCACGCCATCGGCTAGAACGATATCAATTTTGTAGAAAATAGGCTGAACTGTTTATGTCCTAGCGTTGTGCACAGACGGACAGACAGTCGTTTTGCCGTCAATAGATTTTTCGGTATGAAGGACACACTAAACATGGATTCTGGGTACACCATGTGTTAAAGGAATTTCTTTCTATATTTAGCAACTGGATTTATCCCCTTTTTCGTTACCAGGGCCCGACAATAAGAGTTTTTGTGTAAAAAATTCGCCGTTTTCCGGTGCACGATTACAAAATCTCTTATGTTAGTAAGTCCCAGAAAGTAAAAACTCTGCATACCTGTTCATTTTAAATAAGATTCACTTTTAGTAACATTTCGATCAATGAACAGAAATTCAACAATCACATTCGTGAGTTTCTTCTTCAAATTCACGACTGACTGCAACATTAAAATCTATCTGGTTTTTTGCTGTTGCCATATTATTTGCTAGTGCTGCCACATTAGAGACCTCAAGTGATAAAAAATTGAACTATGGCAACATTTAAAATTTCATGTGTTACTATCTCCGACGCAAAGCCTTAAATTTGATGAAACAGCATGCAACGAAAGCGCATTATACCGATATCTTTGCATCCTCAGCATTACGTACGCTCCTTATTGTGTCATCGTTTTTTAGAAGGGAGACATGTCATAACTAATTACAGACATGCTACGGGATGAGATGATGCTGATGGAACCAGCACCATGCCTTGTAATTTAGACTCCAGAGCGGCCTGCCCAAAGACGGAAATTAATAGTGCTTTTGATGATCCACGTAAGAATGGTCTTGATTCAAAGAAGTGACTCTGTACCACTCGTATTACATAAGACACTCCAGTAGTTGCTGATCCCAAATTATAACGCTTGAATATTGGAGGATTTTTTGAGAACAATATTCCACGGTGACCCGCGTTTGATACTTATAATTTCGGTCATTTATTATTCATTCGGTCATTTATTCAAACAAATTGGGGTGAATTTTTGATTTTTCTCCTCTATTTTGTTTTGAGATGCTGATTATTAATTTGAAATTACCCCCAAATACTTCATGATAATTCGAGTTATATTTTTTCTTACATGTAAAAAATATATAATTTTGGTTAATTTGGTAATTCAATGCCAAAATAATCTCCTAAAAATTCTCTATAATACACGCGCGTAATATGCACTACGAATAATACTTCATGACAGCTCCCGGCTGCCAGGAGAGAGGGAGTTCCGTTATACAATCAGAGGTTTCAAATTGTGATGATGTCATTGCAGAGTTAGGTTATTAGGAAATAACTGAAATCTCATTGCGCGTAGAAACTGTACGGTTAAGAGAGCCATTTCTTCTTTGGTTATGCATCGAGTGTGCGGTTGGTTCTGTGACGTCCACTGTTGTGTGCTCTTATTGCGATTTGATTCTGCTACTGTTGCTACTGTTTGATTCTTGCTACTGCAAGAACGACACAACGACCACGTGTCTGCTATCCGAGTAAGAGGCAACATCATTCTACCCCCACCCCAGGTGTCAAGTAGACAGAAATATTATTCGGACAATAGATACAACTTATTCAGTACGCGCACAGTTTACGCATAACTGATTGTTAAAATGTTAACATTATTTACCTTTAGCTTGGATACACGCTAGAACAACTAACCACAAACCACGCGTCTATGTTCAGAATGGCT